GGAGAGGATGAAAAGACCCATACATTATTTCTTGTTACTTAACCTCTAATTAACATGAAATTCGGGTGCTAGGAAAGACAGAGGAAGGATGAAAAGCAGGCTATATCTAATCTACCTCTAAGTCATTGCATCATAAATGATCAATTCCTTGAAATCATTTATGATGCTTTAGTTGAGAACAGGCCTTTCATTCGTCTTTGTTTCCTTGATGCCATGCAGAGTAACTGGCAGCTGTACATTCAAAACAGAGTCCGAGCTGGCAGGCATTGCCTCCCCTCCTTGTGTTTCTGGCTGGTGAAGGAGCTCAGAGACAGTACAGTGCTCTTCCTCATGACTCTCTGAAAGACTGGTGAGGCCAGAAAGGTTGCCTTTGGTATTCCAGTCTTCTCCAGATGCTGGGATTTCCTGCTGGTTTTCCACTTCTCCAAGCCCTGAGAGCCCATGAGCACCTATACTTGGCTTGGGCTCCAGCCGATCAGAGGTCACAGAGAGATGAGCAGAGACCTTAGCTGGGTCAGCACTGGCCCCAGACATTTGAGAAGACTCCAAGGCTTTGTCAGCCTCCCTGGAGTTAAGGTCCTGGTCACTGCTGAAAATCAAAAGTGGAGTGGAGGATTCTGTAGGCATTTGTTCAGGGTCCCCTTTGTGCTCTTTTGGCCAGGGGGACAAAAGATCCAGCTTCTTTCCAAACCTTAGTTTAGGATCATTTGCCACTATACTGCCCTTGCCCTCATTACCTCCCTCAAACAGAGCTGACAACTTCTTAAAACCGGACATTAAACCAGTCTCTGCTCCCCTATTGCCAGAGGAGGAAGGTGGGGAAAAGAAAGAGCTCAGTGGTTTCCCATAGTCAGTAGCAGAGGATGGGAAATGGAGCTTTGGCCAATGGGTCATGTTTGGGATCTCAAAACGTGATCTTGGCTGCTCTGTTTCCTGGAGGGCTGCAGGTGGATCTTTCTGGGCATCAAATATCCCATAACTTTCTTTGGCACAAAGCACAGGTTCCTCCCACAGAGGGTGAGAAAGGGATCCTTGGGTTTCCAGTGTGGCTCTCTGACCAACTGAACTTGCCTCACTGAGCGGTGTTGTGGTACTGGTTTCTAGTGAATTGGTTCCCTGTAGCTCTAAGATGTTTTGTTTTGTGGAGGCAGATTGCATAGTTGGCTTTGGCTCAAGAGGAAGCGGCTGAATTGGAGAAGGAAGCTCTTGGGCAATCCAGGTAGGATCTGGATGGGACTGTGTTGGCAATGAAATATTCTCTGCTTCAAATGATGCCTCTGTGTCTGTGCCCTGCAACACCCCCATGTCTCCTTCATCACTCAGAGATAATACTCCTTGTCCAGTATCATCTCCTGAGACAGAAGATGTAGCCCCAATTGTTTCAGAACCCTGGGGTTCTGGAATATTGTCAGGAATACTGTTTTCCATTTCAGTCATTAGTTTTAGATCATCTGTCAAGGTAATGTCAGGAATATTACTGTTTTCCACTTCAGTTGTGAGGTTAGGACCATTTGTCAAGGTCTCCGAGTGTGACTTGGCTCTAACCACAGTCATTCTATAGTCATTGAGAGCAGATTCTAAATTGAATGACGCAGAAGCATCCTCTCTCCATAAATTTTCTGGAAGTACTGATCCTACAGCATCTCTGGAACTACCTTTTTGAAGCCATGCAGTAGCTGGGATAGATGATTCTTGTTTGCATGTCTCTGGTTTGGGACTTTTGAAAATTCCAAATAACTCACCTTTGAGTGGCGGAGATGATGCACCAGAAGCAAGAGAGAAAAAAGAGTTTCTCTTTGGAGGTTTAGAAGAGAAGAAAAATCCAGAGAGAGTTTTGGGAGGTTCAATTGAGCTCCCAGAGAAAGATTTCACTTTGTTCACAAACCCTGAAAGCATTCCTACTGAAGAGCCCAACAATGACTTGTCTTCCTCTTTATCTGTGTCTCGGCCCTGGAGGTGCCCTGCACACCCCGGCTCTTCAGAGGAAGAGGTTGGCTCCAGGATCTGTGTTAAGATCTCAACAGGGGCCTTTTCTAATGGCAAGTTCAATGGGCCACCAGAAAATCTTTCATTTTGGCGGTGGTTAGTACAAGTGTCTAAATTGTTGAGCTTTTCAATCAAATGACTATCGTGTGGAAAAGCTGAGGCCAGTGAGCAGCTGAGGAAGGCTTCCTGTATGAAATCTTCTTCATGAGAAGCTACCTCAAAGGTCTCTGGACCAATAAGCAGTGCTTCAGTCTGTGCCTGATATCCTGGTGAATGAGGAGCAATGTCTGTTTGCAACTGATTCAACTGGAAATCTGCTAAAGATCCATCACTGGATCCTAGCTTTCGCTGATAGTTCCCCCCTACATTGAGCTCATCATCAAGGGAGGTAACCTCAATGGTGTTGTTAATGGAAACACAAGGAGCCGTTTGCTGCTCATGAATTAACTCCTGGACTATGCTACCTCTATTGCCACTGGAACCTTCATTCACTGTGCCACACATGTCTACAAAAACACTTGGCTTCTTACAGGGCTGGGAAGTCACTGGAGCAATAGTTGAGAGGCTATGCTTTTCCCCAGGAGTCTGCTGTTTTTCATCCAAAAAGGACAAGCTGAAGAAACTAAAGGAGCTATTATGAGAAGCATCCTTCTTGATGCTTGAATTAGTGGGAAAAAAGGAAGGGAGTGTGAATAGCCCTTCTGCTTGAGATTTGGTTCTTGGTAGAGTAGCAGAGGCTTTGTTCTCAGGTTTTTCGGATCCAGTCAGGAAAGAAAATATACTCTTTCTGGTTGGCAACTCCAGTTGGGGTGGAGATATTGTGCCAGTTGAAAAACTTAAGTATTTATCAGAAAAATTATCTTGTTCATTTGAATTTTTTCTGCTCAGAATATCAAAAGATATTTTATTACTTCCTGAAACTTCTGTCACTGTAGACACACCACTAGTTTCTATTGTAGACTCTCTTGAAGACTCTTTGAAACAATTTGTTGAGAAAGATGGATTTGGTGACTGCTGGATTAAGTGGTCTCTGGAGGGTA